CTACTGAAATCACACGATATGAGGGATTTTCCTGCGCGGTTCGATGATTTGCCCGAAACGAAACTTGACGCCACTGATCATTTCATGGATCGTTTCCATCATCATTTAAAAGAGGTGAGATTTAGCGCGTCCCTAATTTCAACACGGAGTCGTTTTTAAAATTGAAAATTTGCCTTCTTCCGTTTGTATTTTGACGTGATGAGCAGGAGCATTAGAATATTACAGGGTTCATGCGAAGGATTTTTTTTTACGCTCTCATTAAAACGGGCTTTCAAACAGTTGGTCAAGTAGAAAATTTCCAGAAATTACGTTTCTAGAAATTATATCTCAGGCTTACCAACGAAATTTATTTTCCTATGCTGCATTTACAGTATTTACATTCGACGATGAAGATAAAGAGAACAAGGATCAACTGCCGGCTGATTATGCCCCAGTGCAGTTTCTTCGCTTACATGGTGGAATAGGACAAATTCATTCTTTTATCTGTTTTCTTGCCATTTTTTGGCAAATCTTTTGAAGAGTCAATGATAAGAGACGTTTCTCTGTGCATTTTCATATTTACTTCTATCGGTTTAAGTTCTCTCTGAATGGAATCCACAAAAGCAGCGAGAAAAGTTCGAAAAAGAATTCTATTTTTTTCCGCATGTGCACGTGGGAGACTGCGAAAGATAATTCTTCATCTCCTGCGGTGAAATCTCCCTCCTCCTGTATCTTTTGGAATAATTTCAGTGTTTTTTTTTAACCATATATTTTTCTGATCATTTTGAACGCAGCTTTTTCCCGCGAAATGCGAAAAGTCTGCTTTGTTAAAAACAAATGACGCAATGATGTGTGCATCATGATGGTCATGATTTTGAGATGCAGCATTGTAGCATCTCGTTCCAACGACGAATTAATGCTTGCAGCGATTTTATTCCCTCAGCCCATGTCGAATTCCCAATGTGCTATTTAAATTTTGTTTTAACGGATTTTCGTTTATATTATCACGAAGCTTTTTTTTGAGGGTCCCAAACACTTCGTTTTAAAGAGATTAAATCTTGACAGTCGTAACAGTAATTCGTAACAGTAATAGGAATTTTATCAGTAATTTAGTTACAGTCCAATTTCAACAGTAATTTAATTACAGTACAATTTCAACAGAAATTTAATTGAAGTACAATTTAACAGTAAATTAATTACAGTAAAATTTTAACAGAAAATTATTTACAGTACAATTTTAACAGTAATTTAATTACATTACAATTTTAACAGTAAATTAATCACGGTACAATTTTAACAGTAATTTAATTACAGTACAATTTTAACAGTAATTTAATCACAGTACAATTTTAACAGTAATTTAATTACAGTACAATTTCAACAATAATTTAATTGTAGTACAATTTTAACAGTAATTTATTTAAAAAAGACCATAAAAGTAATTTTTCATAGTCAGCATAAGAATAATTTTGTGTGTGTCCTTTTCTTCTTTCGAAAAGGGGGAAATCGGGTTCGCCACCTTGCCGGATCAGGTCCATCGGAAATCCGTGAAGAAGGGTTTCGATTTCACGATGATGGTTTGCGGGGAATCCGGGCTGGGCAAGTCAACGATGATCAACAGCTTGTTTCTCAGCGAACTCTATCACGGCAGGAGACAGCAGTACGTTCAAGGTGAGAATAAAATTCCATTTTCTCAGTGTGTTTTTCCAGAGAATAAGTACCGTATTTCCTCGAGTAACTCGCGCACTTTTTTTTCCTGCAAAATCAAGGCAGAAAATTGGGGTGCGCGTGGTTTGTGGGAATATATTTTCTGGAGCCAAAAATTAGGGAATCAGTGGCGAGAGCCATAATTGATTTACTTGGTATAGGTGCAAATAATGAACAGGGATATTTTTTGTGTGTGGCTCAAATGCAGTTCAAATGACGCATCTTCAAATACAGTACTTCTTCATGAGATTATTTTGTTCAGCACTAAATTTAGGGAAAAAAATTCGATATTCAACCATGTGAAACTGGGGTGTGAGTCTTATGTTTCGCAAATCTATAAGGTTAAATCTGGTCAGAAACTTACTGCAGGAGAAAAGTTTCTGCCTTTGCCAAAATTAATTCCTCTTGCCAGCTTTTGTGGGAATTGGGTTATTGCGCCAAATTTCACGGATTCCTGAAAAAGGAAACGTGTATTTTCCAACAAACATGCAGGGTAATAAATCCTGCCTTGAAGAAACAAGAAGCTTTACAGAAATTCAAATTTTCCATCTGGAAAGGCCGTCTGGACTAGAAATTTCCTCCATCCTTGAAAAGTCTTCTTGAAACCTTTTTTTGGTCACTTTGTCGATTGTTTTTGCCGGAGTGGAAAACATGCGAGTGCTCGAATCATATTGCTGTTGTGAAAATTTCATTTGTTTGAGAAATAAGACCAACTTATAATATGGTGAAAGTCACCCTTAATTGTCGCAGCCCAACCAAAATACCTTGTTCTTTATTGCTAATATCTAATTCGTACTTTCTTTATTCCTGAAATTATGCAGGTACACATTTCGGGGCAAATTTCTTATACAACACCTTAATTTATAATAAATGTCTAATGAGCGAATACCTTATTGTTCTTTATTGCTAATATCTAATTCGTACCTTCTTTATTCCTGACATTATGCAGGGATACATTTTGAGGCAAATTTCGTGCCAATAAAAAAATTAGGTACGTGTCATACTCGATGGCGCGTGATGCTCGAGTAAATTCGGCGTATAGATTCAATTCTACTGTCGACAAGAAAAAAAGAAGCAATTGAAACATTTTTCTAAAGCACTTAAGGGGAAAATGTTTTGTACGTAGTTTGACTCTAGTGTTGCTGGTTCTGGTCAGAAGTGGTTTACGATATTCGTATAGCACAGAAGCCCAGAGTCATCTTCTCTCAATATCGCATTTCCGTGGAAAATTCGCTACTTATGATATCCTTTTTATTCAGTGATTTGTGTGAAAAGCCATTTCGCGGGTGATGACGGGATTTTTTACTTGCATTGAGTTGCGTTTAATGTGCGAATATTCCTGTTGTTTCGCCAATTTTGCCGCTTCCGTGCAGTTCCAGTTGAGGTGCGATGGTTGCATCCAATTTTAGCGAAAACACTTAATTCATCTGTTCAGCATTATATTCCAAATTTATATCATAATAAAGCATAGTTTATATTTGTTATCCTTGCATTCCTAGATTGGGTGTGTACGGAACATGTGTTGATCTACAGTATTTCACACTGGCTGACTGATTTTACAGTCCTTTTTGAATAAAGGAAAACATAGTAAAGTATTTAAACGATTATTTTTTGTACGTATATTCGATTAATTTTAACTGAACTGAAATTAATTATGGAATCAAATGGAAGGTTTGCATTTTCTTCTTGCCGGGAATTGAAATGACGTGCGCCATGCTGGTGTAAAATCGTGAATTTGAGGGTATGTTTGGAATGTTGATGATAGTGCATGTCTTACAAACCCATCGTATTTGAGGAAATTTAATTCGGTAATCAGACATTTGTAATTAAGAACTGTGAATCCTCTTAGGCAACGCGTTCTCGACTGATCATGGAAACATTTTGAAGTACCGTACCGTACAATATTGAAGAAAAAATTAATGCGGAAGATCTGATGAAAATTTTCTTTTAGTAACTCTAGGAAACATTTATGAAACAACAAAGTATTTTCAAAAGGCGAACAAACTTTGAACAAAACAAAAAAAATTTCGTAGACCTCGGCTCATCCAAGTGGAGTGAAGTACTGTACTGTAACACCTAGTGAATGACCTTCTCGTGAATTTTTTAATTATTGACGGAATTTCTTTATCTCACTATTGTACCAAAATGAAGGGCACACTTCATTGTTCAAAAAAAAATTCTGAAAGTTAGAAATGTTGCTCATAATCGAGATGCCGCGCATCGAGATGTGACCCATTTTCCAAAATATGCTGGATATAAAGAAGTCATGTCAGGATTTCGGAAAAAAAGGCATGAAATATAATTTCGCCGTGTGAAAAGTGCCCCTGGCTTGAGACGTTTTCTCAGAGGGGGAGGGGTGGTAGTTTGCAGGCTTTCTATCTTTTAGCAGCGTCCTCAATGAGTCAGAACTAGCAACAAAGTTGCACTCACTATTTATTTTTGCCTAGATGTCACTAACGTAGAAGTTTTTCGAAAACTATACAATATCGCGTATATCATTTGTGTCGCATCAGTCCTGTGGTATGTTGAATGATGGGTGATTTTTGGATTGCGTTTTATTTTTTGCAGAAAAAATTAACCAGACTGTGCAAATCGAAACGAAGGGAATCGAAATTGAAGAGAAGGGTGTGAAGCTTCGACTGACCGTGGTTGACACACCAGGTGGGTTTACAAAACTTTTCCCTACCTGTATGTTCATTCATAGGGTATTCCTGAACCTTGACCTGCGGACAATTCGACATAGGTACACTTATTTTACCACAAAAAGTAATAAAAAAGGTCCAACATGAGGACACTGACTTGACATAAGGACATTTTGTGATGAAATTGCAAATACATTTCAGGCAAAATTACAGGAAACAGATATTTCCAACCCTAAAATTGAAGTAAGAAAAGTTCTTGGGCATTTCTCTCACCAATTTACCATCCATTTAGCTAATTTAAAAAATTACCTCCAGCATATAGGGACTTCCTTCTCTCTTTTTCACTTGAATGTTAATTTTAACAGAGAATGCCAACATTTTTATGTACAGCACAGAGGTAGCAGTATTCAATTCCCCAAATGTCCATATTGTGCTGAAATATATTGATTGAATCAGTTAAATTGGGAGACAATTTTTATTTTTCATCAAATTATTGTGAGCATTTTGTACATAAAACACCGATTAAAAATTATATAATTTAAGTCTAAGGGGATATGATCCTTGGTTAGTGTCTCCAATGGTATATTAGCCGGAATGTTTCATTATATGGCGCTTAGTTTCGAAAGTTTGGGTCATTATATGCATTCCCAAAGGTTTCGGCGATGCCCTGAATTGTGAGACCCATTGGAAAACCATAGACGACTTCTTGTGCAGCAAGTTCATGGAGTATTATTCGGCTGAAAGCGGGCTAAACCGCAAATGCATTCAGGACAACAGAGTGCATTGCTGTTTATACTTCATTCCTCCATACGGACACGGGTCAGTGAAAATGATCACAATTTGCTTACATCGATCGGGGAAAAGCTTCTTCACGTGATAATACATATATCCGACACAGGCTTCGGGAAATGGACATCAACTTGATGAAACACCTTCAAGATCGCGTCAACGTCATCCCAATCATTTCCAAAGCCGACACGTTGACGAGAAACGAAGTGAACAAGTTGAAGGCGAGGATTCGCAGTGACATTCAAACCCATGACATCAAGGTGCGTGTTTGTATGAAGAGGAAGCATTTACGGAATCCGCTATAATTAACTCATTTAATCGAATATATTCAATTAAACTCAGCTCGATAAAACCCCTATGAGCCGTTCTTTTTTTTTTTTTGAAGAAAAAGTAAGAAAACGTGATAATCTTTTATGAAGGGCTGCATTTTAATTTGATTTGTATTTCTGTGTATTAGACACTAAGATCTCGAGACAAGAATAAGAAGATGATGCAAATGCAATCACCAAAAAAATTGTCTGCCAAAATTTACGAAGCAACCGAGTGCTTTCAAAGGCTGAGCAAAAGATTTCTTATTTTTATGCAGCGTTTTTCTAGCTGGGACAAGCATTGGAAACACCGCGTTGAAGTGCCATCTGCAAAATTATTGACAGCTCAAATACGTTCTTGTAAATTAATTTTATCGTCAATAACCCGCCAACGAGATTCAAATATCTGCGAGAAGTCTCTAAATAAATTAAAAAAAAAAACACAAACACATAGATGATATTTACTTCTTGGGAACTTTAGCTGAATATATTTTACGCATTCCATTGTTACAGTATTTTGATTGATTTCTAGATAAATAACATGAATTGAATTTTTAAAATTTATTTTATCCTTATTAATGAACCACCAACCCCTTTGAACCGCCACAAACCTCGAACATAAATGATGGTCTCTTATTATTAAAGTATTTGACTGTATTCCAAATGTTGAAGATTGAAGAATTATCCAACTCCGGAACGAAAGTACAGTACTGTACTGTATTTTTCAAATGAATTATTGCGAGGATATAGAGGCCGAGGGCAAATTGCTCAGACGTGAGGATTTTCTGCTTCGGATATCGATAATAATAGACTCCCATAGAGAATAATAATCCAAGTCATCCTTGAATCCCTCTGGTCGAATAATTTGTGTGGGATGCTGATACGGAAGCAGGATGAAAAACTTCTGCATCACGAGCGTCGCCATAAATGAGAAGTGACATCGAACGTGATCATAAAATTGGACGCAATTTTTTTTGTGTGGCCTTTTCAGCTGCATCAGATGTAGGTTTGCGACTTGATTTTTATTTGTTCCATCGGAAAAGTAATTTGTCTGAAAGGGGATGGGCTTCTATATAAGAAGTTCCTCAAGTATATAGCCTGTTTTCCGTTTATTCCTGATCGAGTATAATATGTATAAGGCTTTCTTTAAGAAATGTTACCGGAGTAAGTTGGATTCTTCATCTTTTTTTTTCTACAGGAGCTACCATATTTTCACCATGTGCAGCTGGGAAATGCTGTTGGGCAGTTTTTTTGTGTGGATAATTTCGAAGGTTCTGTGATTGATTCCAATAACTGTACGTGATGCCTGCAGGAATTTGAAACCCTTTGCTTCGAAATTTAATATCACTATCTTCTTCCTTTCATATGTCTGACTAAGATTAATTTTAGGAAGTCAACGATTTCCTGCGAATTGGAAGCATTTTTGAGAAATACGTATAATACTCATGCAAACAAGAGTGAGTTCATACAAAAACAAGAGTGGGTTCATTTGTGTGACAAAAATCCCGCGTATAAATAAATTTCTAATTTTGAAAATGGCTTTCGAAAAAACGAATTGAATAAGTTCTGCATTGTAACGAATTTTTGTTTGGTCCCATAGGGATTTTCTTCCCATAGCATGTTACAACGAAACTCTCTCTACAAGGATTCTTCTGATCCCCTAAAAGAAATAAAGCGGTTCTCGTCGTAACAAAATTCAAGGGATTAGAAAAAAATTTCGTTTTGGTCATTGAAAAGGAAGAACATTTTTCTGTATATATACAACGAAATTCAATAAGGGAATAGAAAAATTTCGTTGTGAAGAGAATTTCATTGTATAGAACAAACCGTGCGACAAAATTTTCTTTAAAATGATGAATTTCGTCGCATAGATGTGAAGAGCCTCTATACAACATGAGGAGAAAAAAAAACGTTTGTGGTACAAACCAAGGAAAATTCGTTATACTGTACAACACAGAGAAATCCTTGTAAATCAAGAGACCAAAAAAAAATCGTTCCTGGAAGAATTTCTTTAAGGAGAGAGTCCACACCTGTTGACCTGCTGTACAATGAATATCATGTGAAAATTGTCCCGTAACGAAACTCTGTCCTAAACACTGTATATATATACACACACACATGAGTGCGCGGATCATTTTCATTTTGCGGGGACGACGCCATTTCTATATCACGCAGGAAATTCTATACATTGGGCCCCCTACTTACTACGGGTCAATGTTACGTCCGTTTCAAGTTGGGACGCTTTTTTTTTTCTTAAAAAAAACCCCTAATTATGTCAGGGTTTCATGATATATGACAGCTTCTGAGGTTCTTCAGCTCCCTCCCACCAACCGTTTTTTTTTGTGCCAAGGTTCATTCCTAGCAAGATTTAACTGTTAACATTGCGAGATGGTGCCATACACAGGAAATAAATCATCCATAAGTTTGGAAATTGCTGTATTTGGAGCATTTTTATTTTATTTTGTGTGTGCTGTACTGTTCATTTCATTATTGCTGAATTATTGTTTTTAGGAGGGATTTTTAATTTTTTGTGTTCTGTACTGCCCTGTGCATTTCATTATAGCTGAATAATTTTGTTTAGGAGGAATTTAATAATTTGCTAGAAAATTATCCATTCTTACAATTTTAAAACTCAGAAGATGAGAAAAAAAGATGTGAAAAGTGCTCAAAATTGCAAAAAATCATTCTCCTCCTACCCTATTTCACTACCCTACCCCCTATCACTTTTCTTTTATACAGTCTTTCAAACATTTCTTGTGTCTATTAATGCAATTTCTGACAAAAAGTATAAATATAAAAGTAATTTTGGTTTAATATTTTTTTTTCTGGAACAAATTAATTTTTTCATAATGTAACCTTAAGGGAAATAGGGTTTCAACTTATGACAGCCCCATGTTACAACATCCATCCTGGAACAGATCAATGACGTAAGATGGGGGCCCACTGTACTCTACAGAGTAATGGTATAGACTAAACTGAGCCACAAGGGTTAACTGTAGCGCAGAAGCCCACAAAGAATGAATATTGAATCAATAAATAAATGAGAACAAACAATCCGCCCGGGAACAGGGCAGGGGATTCTCAGTAGAATCCCAAACAACAAGAATAAATGCATTTCACATGAAGGTAAAGTATCAATCACAAATATATTTCAATACTTCAGCAGACAGCAATTCTTTAGACATCTTAATGCAATGAAAGCATCTGAGAGACTGTGTATAGATCAGAGGAAAAAAAAAGGTTGCAGGAGGAAGAGGATTGCACCATTAAAAACCGGGTGGGGAAAAGAGTGCTGTGCTGATCATCACCTGATCACTGGGAATTCCCGGTGATCACGTGATGCGCACTTCTGCATGTGTGCATCAAATTTCCTACAATTGTTTCCTACATTAACGTTCTGGCCATTTCATCGATTATTTAATTTTAACTTACTGTACTTTCTATACGGTGTGGAAACGGGTAAAGGTTTATCAACTGCCGGAACTGGACAGCGACGAGGACGAGACAGTGCGGACGGAGGACGCGGAGATAAAGGCCGCGTGGCCTTTTGCGGTGGTGGCGAGCACCCAGATACTCGAGGTTCGCGGACAGAAGATCCATGGAAGGCTTTATCCTTGGGGCGTCGTTGATGGTACGTACGTGTTCTGTGAAAAAGGACGAAAAAGAAATTAAATAATAATCAACATGATCAGTGTGTCCCGAAAGGAAGGAAAAGAGAGAAGTTGAATAAGCGGTCCCTTGATTTATCTGGCGCGTTCCGAATAAGGAGCGCTCATTATTCCGTTATACTGTACAGAGGTACTGCTGCTCTTCCTTTGGGCTAGGTTTGTTATTTTGAAGCGCGAGGTTCCTTCGTTTATTTATATGCCCCGAGAATTCCCAGTGACGTGCGCGTGCGAGGGCAAAGGAGAGGAATGCTCCATGTTTTTTTTAGTACTGTATAGTAAGTACTGTACTAAATACTGTAGAGTATACAGTACAGTATTTTTTAAATATTTTTTCCTTGCTGCATTTTAGTCCCTACTGCGAAAGTAAAAGTTTTAAAAACTGAGACTTTTAATCAACGGTGCTGCGTGTTCCATCGGACGAGGTTCAGTATCATCCATCAGGGCTTTTATTTAGCGCTCAAGTTTATGCTCAAGGTCCACTTTTTGTTGTTTTTGAAAATCTATTGAATCAATGTAATGAAACGATTCTTGAAGATTACGGGGTACAGTGGTGATTTCGATGTATAGCATTAACTTTTTGCTAGAAAATATCTATCCCATATTGACAATTTTTCAAATACCGTATGCAAAAATTTCTGCGCATGTGTCTGCCAAGATTTTTGTTTTTAATGCTGAAAACCAATACAAAATAGTCAAGGAAAAACGAAGTTCTTTCTTACAATTCTGGTATGATTTTAATAGGACTAAATAACTTTCAAAGACAAAGTTTTTTGTTGTCATTTCTTTTATGTATCGTACAGGGTGGGCAAAAAAATGAACCAAATTTGAATCAAGATATCTCTGTTGAACTTGAGCCACAACAATGAAAAAAACACTATCTGAAAGCTTATTAAATTCTCTTTCAAATGATATTTTATTGTATGGTCCAAAGTGTCATCAAACAGTCTCGAAAACCATTTGAATGAAAACTTTCCCAAAAAATGTTGTCACACAACTCTTCCTGCTAAGCGGCTGTCTCCAAAACCTCCCAAAAATTATCTTGAAATTAGGACAACTCACATCAGTGCACCAGAAACAAAATCCAAGATAAATACAGACAGGAAAATAAATAAGCCCATGAAAACCCACCCACTCAAAAACCAGCAGGAAAAACAAAAAATCATTGATGCGCTCCATTAAACTCAGGACGCACAAAATCATACCACCAGACAACAAACCGATCAGCTCACAGAACAGTCCATTCCTGTTGTGTCTTTTGAGGCATTTCCTTTGGGACTACATTTGATCCAGAAAATGTTTTGGTATCTGCTGTGGGCACACAGGGTAGGTGCATTTGCATTGGAGTTTCCCTCACAGCTCTTGTTCTCCACTCTCCAGGGTTGTTTTTATGGATGATTGGGGTGGCAGAATAATGTAACCAGCAAATCCATGATACCTTCCACAGTGTGCACACCTTCCAAAAATTCACAAGAAAAGGTAGGAGTGAGAGAAAAAAGTTGATGAGTGGGATTCACTCATCAACTCAATTTACTCAGTGCTCGGTGTGAGGAATTTATTTTTCTTTCTGGACCATGGCAGGATTTTCAGGCAATGCTTTGTCCACCCAGGCGTGCTTTTCCACCTCATCTTCCAATGAATGTTTAGTTAACTGATAATATGGTTTTCTGGTGCTGTGATTTCCTGTATCCTCAGTTTTTGTGTGCATGCGCATCAATGATTTTCGTGTTTCCTGCTGGTTTTCGCCTGGGTGCGTTTTTATGGGCTGATTCATTTTCCTCTCAGTATTTATCTGGGATTTTGTTTCTGGTGCACTGATTTGGGTTGTCCTAATTTCAAGGAAATTTTCGGGAGGTTTTGGAGACAGCAGCTTCGCAGGAAGAAAATAATATTCGCGCAGGAGTTGCGCCAACGATGAGGTGGCTTATGACTTATGACTGTCACAACATTAGTTTCACGAAAGTCTGAAGTATGCATACAAGATAGACTCGATACTAAAACACTTTTTCCGGTTATGTTAAAATGCTATAAAATAGCAGAGAGTTTATATACTGCTGTACGTGACCGTTATACCGAAACGAAAAACGTGGCGAAGCATAAGTCGTGAATAATAACAAATAATAAAATGAAGGATAAAATCTCTTCCATTCGTTCCGCGATCACGATCCTTTTTCGTTCCGCAATAATACTCGTCGTTTTTCTTGTCTTGCCTAAATATCGTGTAAATGTTGTTCCTTATGCGTTCTTTGTGTGCAGTCGAAGACCCTGAGCACAGCGACTTCCTCAAGATCCGGAAGATGCTGATTGCGACGCACATGCAGGACCTGAAGGAAGTCACCCACGATATTCTCTACGAGCAGTTCAGGGCTCAACTTCTGAGCTCCTTCTCCAATGGTTCAGGGTCAGTATCACGTCTTGAATCGCAATGAACCATTTTTTTAAAAGTCCGTTCGATGAAGCATTTGCGTCTTTTTAGAAATGCCTTTCCCGGGGTTTACCACTGTAGTACATTTAAAGGAAACAATGCCTTTCTTTCTCTCATAAGAAACTGTTGAGCGATGAGACTTTTCCTTCAGCAAGCCTTTTTGTGATTTTGGGAAAAATATGTTTTCTTCACATATCCCTGATACGCTTAACTTAAGCTTCACTCCAGTGCTGATAAATGTCCTACCCCGGAAACTTGCACTCCATTGAATCCAGAAACAGTGTGGGCCTTGGCTTACGAACTTCATTGGTTCCTGAACAAAGTTTGTTAGCTGAATAGTTTCTAAGCCAAATCACATTTTCCCTTGTGAAAGTATGGGAAAAATTTCAATTGGTTCCAGAACCTAAAAAATGCCCATTAAATTCAAGAAAAGGCACCCTAAAAAAATATTTTCAGGTCTAAAATCCACGAAATCTTCCCAAGACAATTTACAAGAAACTCACTGCAGTGAAACAATCCATAGAAGCGAAAATTTAAAATAAGGTTCTCCAGAGGATTCTTCTTGAAAATTTTAAATGTAACACCACAAACTCATTTACAGACTATGGACTCAGGATGGATCATTGTAATGCTAATAAGAAGCTGTTCAATTTCAACCCAATTATAGAATGAATAAAAAAATGGAGGTCAAAAATTGGAGGTCAAAACATTTGATCAGCTTTCGCTTTGATTTATTTGATAGAAGCGGTGCATAAATCATTTTGATTAAAAATTATTTTTATGTCAATGAATATGGTTTCCGAAATTGCTGTTCAGAAAAAAATACGTATGTAGGTAAGATTCAGTCTAAAATGTAAGCAAAATAAAGGAAAACAATCATCAGGTATAACCTTTGCTAAATGATAAAATTTTCAGATAATGATGGTCAAGCCTCCAGCAGATAAAAATCATGCATTATTGCAGAAAAAAAGCTGAAATGATTTTTCAGCGTAGTTTTGTATGTGGTATTGCAGTAAGAAGAGGAATTGCAGAAGTTGATCAATTCTTGATAAACTACTATGACTTATTCCAGTCCCTTTTTTTCGATCCATAATTCCCGTTCTCTTCTTGCTGGCGGTTTCGAAGCGACTTTAAAAAACTTTGGCGCGATGTCAAGCGTGTTTCGTATGCATTTTCCTGCGTCCTTCTCTCAGATTTGGCAACAAACCAAAGCTTCCGGTGTTGATCCCGAATGCTCTCAAGTTGCAAAGCCCATCGCTGGATTCAGGTCGAGTAACGCCGGACGTTGCTCTGTGTCAGAAGGACGAGGAGGTTTGTTTGTCGTCTGTCAACTTGATTCATTCCTCAACTCTTCGTTTTAATCTTTCCTTTTCTTTTTTATCTGCACAAAATTCGTGTCTTGCCTGATGCAGATTCGGAAGATGCAAGAGATGCTGGCTAAAATGCAGGAACAACTGAGGATGGCCGGAAAAGATCCAAGCCTGACAGCTGCATCGTCACCGTCTGGGTCAAGGTTCTCCCGATCTTCGGTAGACTGCGACAGCGTAATTAATGTTTAAAACTTTAAATCGTTTTTTTTTGTACGAGGATCCGAATTATTTATTTACCTTACATCAAAGTACGCAAGGAACAAAAGAAACGGATCACGAAACTATAGTCCTACAGAATTCTGTACCATCATAGAGCTTCATCGGTGCATGATTGTGATAAATCGTGAAAATATGAAGGATTTCTCGAACGTATTGCGAATCACTTGAGCATCAAATTATTGCAATACATGTTCGAATTACGGCTACATGTTATTTTTTAAAACTTATCGTTGATTTATTTTTCAAGTTCCATCCCAAAAAGAAACATATAAAAAATGAATTGTGGCAAGGTCATAAGAAAAACGTGAGGTAAAATTGATCGAAGAATGGCATCTCGAACGATTAAATTCCTGTAGTTTTTTTATGTTTAACGTACTGCTGGTTGACCACCTTAGCCCAATAGCAGGACTCCCATTATATGAATGATTGTCAATTGTTTGAATTGGGATACATTTTTAGCGATAAAAAAATGGGTAGGTCACCATAATGAGATTTTGTACACGTGAACCGGCATTTTTAAGGTGACTTGCGGTACTTTTGAGAAATCCTTCGTTCAAAAGTATATGTTTTCCTTGAGTGCGTTCCAGTGTTGTAAAAGTGTATAAGTACCAAAGCCGGAAAGTTTTGCGGTGCTCCACTATATATTCATTCATTCTCGCTGCTCTGCATTTCCTTGTGCCATATCTTTAATATATTTGAGATGATGTTAATTAGATACGTCTGTAAATAGGACAGTATATTTTTTTAGTGTCAGTGGACATAGATACGTTGTGTAACTTTTCCTTTGGTTTATTATCTGATGGGAATGTGTCGTTCCGATTTCATCTTCCGTCTCTATATCAAGCGCAGTTTGTGGGCGGAGTGTGACTGACAGTTGGCAGCGCTCACTCATCAGCATGAGGTTGATATTGATGGTACCTGGTAGTGCAGCTTGGGTGGAGGAGATTGAGTTCCAAGCTTCGCTATGGACGTTTTGGTGTTGCTTGTGCTGCTGCAGCTGCATGCTTTTCTTTTTCTTGCGGAAAAATGTGGATGTGTTCTTTTATGTAATGCATATATACGCTGTTCTGTGCGCTGGTGGTATCGCACGATCCCCGTGAACCTTGACAAGAGCAATCAATTCCCATTGTATGCGCTCGTCGTTATCAATCTTCAACTATTTACCTATTAGATTTCCTAATGAGTCAGAAGGAAAATATTCCAGATCGTGTGAACCACTTTTTTATGCTTAGTGAAATCTATCGTGGCATTCCTTGTTTGTCTGTCTATATCGGTTAGAATTGCGCTGAACGAAATAATATGAGGACTGAACAACGCCAGAGCAACCAGATTTTCAAATTCCTCCATCAGACTCATGGTGTTCCTTGATCCAGCGGAATAATTTATACTATACAGTACGAGCTTCTGCTATGTTTTTACTTCAGCTGTTACATACGACGGATAACTTAGGATAACACGACGTCCACGTAAAGCGGATCCTTATCTTTTCAGGAGTCTATCGAAATTCCGAGCGACTAGCGTTTGCTGCGTTTCACGCATTCCTTGACCCTGAACAGAAAGTAGAAGTGATGACCGTCAAATTCCTCAGTTGTTGATACATCATTAGCATTTAGAAGTAATACAATTTCCGAGTAAGGATGTAAGTCCGTTCATTTTCTTGAAAATCTGGTTATCCCTTGTGATCGCTGTAAAGTGGCAAATAAAGTTTTCTGTTCATTCATTCATTGAAAATCTGGAGTACCAAATAAGTACAGCAGTATGCCGTTTCTCGGAGGAACGTAACTAAATCTTACTTTTGTTTTCCACAGAATATTATGTGTTGGTCCTGATGCGCGCGGTCAGAAAAATGGTAACAATTATTCAATCTGTGAGTCTCATAAAAATCTCCGACGAATCTTTCTCTTTGCTTTTCCTAATCGCTTGAGTTGCGAGTATATAGCTGATTAATTCGAATTCCGCTTTTGTCAAGTCATCCTTCAATAGGGTCGTTCATCTCATCAGGAATTCATTCTGTGATGGAAGCCTACCATAGCAGTATTTCTTTCTTATTGCAGTAATTTTCGCAATACAGTAGTGTTCAAAGATCGTTGATCTGTGTATAGTTCATATGTAAGACCCTAACCATCCCAATAACGGAAACGACCACGAACATCAACTTGAGTTGCTTATTTCCAAGTGGTCCTCTTCTCAAATGTTTGTCGGTTAAGGTTTTCGTTTTTTTTTTACAAAGAATACGAAGGGTAATTTTTCTGCTTGATCTCGGGAGAATAGATAGTTCCACAAATTTATAAACTTTCCGCAGGAGCATGAAGTAGACTCACTCGCGCGCGCCTATGATAGTTCCGTATAATCAAATCCCCAAGCATGACGACTGACCGACCCATGATTCACGCTGATGTGACTAAAAGTAGCATCATACGATCGATGAGTCATTGTTCGGAATAGAGCTTCTAAGCAGGAAGAATTATGGATGTGACGAGATAAATGAAGCATCGAAAGATTCGTTGAACGATGTCGAGGTGTTCTATTCATTTGAAAAAAAATACAAATCGTCACTTGTATATATGACGCCCCGCAGTTTCAGGTTGGAGAGCAATGCCCACAATGAACAAAATTTGGAAACTCAAACAACTGAAACTCTTCACAATCCGCCAGGGAAGGGGCAGAGGATTTTTGGGTATATAGAAATCCCAAAAGACAAATTAGACAATGTAAGAGCAAATATACTTCATATAAAAAAAATTATTCAATCAAGAATCAGTATGAAATCTTGGAATTCTGGTACAGACAGCAAGTCACTAGACAAAACCAAAAACAAAAATTAAAACAACAGAGAGACTGCAGGGGGCCCTGAGCGCAAGTATTTTGGGCACGTTTGTTCACTATATACACAACCTCCCAATCTAGCCCTTGTGCAGCAAAGTTGGACTATTTTTTTGAAACTTTGTGGCACATCAGAGAGGTTTGGAAAAAAATGATAACAGGTGGTCAAGGGCAAAGTTGGGAAAAATCCGGATGCCTTTTTCTCTGAGCACAGAAACATTTTGTGGGCAAAAAAAAATTCTCAGTTAGGCTACCAGCTTTTTTCAGATTAATCCTGACTTTGCCTCAGCCCACCTGGAAGGGTTTTGGTGACCTTCCCAAAACTGAAAATGCGGGAGGATACAAAAATAATCCGACTCCGTCCCGCTATGGGAAAGAACCCTCCGCCGTCCAAGGGCTAGAGGTGGGCACCAAAATGGGATTTTGGTATCCCCATCAGATCCCACAAAAAAGCGCACCCAGCTCACCAAAATCCAACCATAATGATTTTATTGCGTCCATTTGCATGCATTTATAGCGCTTTACAGCTATCTGTAGAAGAGCCCCAATAAAGCTCATGGGTGACAGGATCACTTTGTTGCTGCTTTTATTTGCTCAATTCAAAAAATTAAGGAATTGCTTTATTGAGAAAGTTGGCACCTGCTGCTAATAGACTGTTCTAATTAACACAACATTCAAAAAACCCTTCTGGATTTAAATACAAAAAATTCGAGCGTATTGCGCATTAGTACAGTACAACAAGATTGAGCAGCCAGTTTTGAAAGCCATGTTTCTTAAATTTAAACATGAGGAATGAATGAAAGTGCAATTTGCATTTTTCCCCATGTCCTGGTAAACAAAAAGTTGCTTGTTTTCTCTCCAGTAATTAGATAAAAATTAACTCATTTGTCCAAAATAAGTACTGGAGTCCGAATTTCATCCAAAGGAGCCCTGAAGTAGTCCAAACTTGTTTGAATTAGTCAAAAATGTTATATTTTTCATTGGTTGTGAGCAGCATGTCCAGCACACACATCCCCAGATCCAAAAGATTTCCAAATTTTTGGATGTGTGTTGACTGCAATTCAAACTAATAAAAAAATCCTACATTTTTCTGATGTTTGAGGACTGCATTTGGATATGTACAGTACATACTGCGCCCCAACTATCGAGAATTTTGTTGGGGTTGAGAATTTTAATTTTTGGTTTTCAGTTTTCAAATTCAAAATTTTTGATATGGAAATAAGCCAAACTTTAAGGGGCACTATTTCAGCAGAAGTGATTTGTGATTTTCCTTTGTGAAACTCTTGTTTTGTAAATTCTGTAGTGTTGATGTGTTGTCTATATAATCGTATTCATTCTACTGAACCGTATTGTCATGACTTCCAGATGAAAAATGTTTGCTAATTAATGAGAGGATTGGTCAATCAGTTTTGAAACTAGGAGATGACGGGAATTTAGTTTCATCCGTCGATCTACCTCATTACTAAGATTCATCTTTTCTTTCTTTTTTCAGTTTAAACGATGTAAAAAGCTTGAATCCCATCTTGAATTTGCATTTTCCTGCGTATAGTTAGTATGAATGAAAAAATTTCATTTCAAAACCGTACAGTGTATCATTTTTTTCAATTTTCTCCAAGAGAAACATGCTCGTCAAAGTTCAAGGTACAAACTACTGTAATACTCTATGAAGTTAAATATTGAAATCATTAGTCTGAATTGACATGCATCGTCATAATCAATTCTCTCAATCAAGGTTGCTAATGCATTTACAATTGACCTATTCATGAATCAATGCACGGGATAACCTCAATTAGGATCTTATTCTATCCACTATATCCACTAAAACCACAATGAAATAAAAAAATCAATGAGAGGGTAAAAAAGTTTGTTGTAACAGAATTGGAAAGTTTGTTATGAAGAGATTGTTATTACCCTATGGGATTTGTTCCTGGGCATACTTGTAAAAAAATTTGTCATTATGAAAAATGTGTTGTATATCTAGATTTTATTCTACAATTCTTCGTATTACAGTATTTCTACTACCCAATTTCAGTGAAGGGAGCAGCAGATCGAATCATATTCTGAAACAACTCCATGCCCTGTGGACCATATATATGTAGTGGTAGACTGATATTTCATATTCTCGATTGAATCTTGGGAATCCATGCTGAGCACTATGCGAGATGTGCATTTAAACAATTTGGATATTCGAGATTAAATATAAGAAACTATAACAAAGAAAACACAGAACTTCATTCGAAAATACGTCTTCCCTTTCCCCATGTCACCAGCACACTTCATCAACAACATTGCCTTATATCATCACCCAGAGCAGTGAAATCACAACAAAGGAATTGCCAAACATATTCTTGCAGTTTAAATCTCAGCAATGATAAACCCACGCAAAAAAAAGATGATATATTCTCTCGTACGCATCAAAATAAAATAAATCTGCAGCAGATGGATGCGTCCTACTTGAGGGTGTCATTGCAAAATGCGGAAGTTTAAATATTTTTCCTTTTTTTCATTGCTGCGCTTCCTGTTGCATACCTAATTTATTTGCGCAATATAAATCATTTCAATCGTCATTTAGCTCATGATTGGCCTTGAGTATGCGTTCTATTCTGTGGGTCTTGTTTCAATTTTTCGCGATCTGCTGCGGCTACTGATGCTGGTTGATTCTTCCCAGGAACAGACTCCTTATTCTTGGAATGGCCAGGAATGGCAGGCAAAAGAGCGACATCTGAACCCACAGCTTGTATTTGTTGTTTTGCATTTCTCTCCACGCGGCTGTTCGATGAAAGATAAATCATGTTCCTTCCGAAAGGTCTCAAACGATACACGAGATAGTCGAGGGTGTAAAAATGCGGAGCTGGCACATAATGAAAGGATATTGCTGTGTCTGAGCAGCATCCTGGCCCCTAAAATCAGAAATCGAAATGGGTTTCTGAATCATCAATAAAAATGATCTCAACTTTGTAGACGTCATCATCAAAGACTCGAAAAATTATTCGAAGAATCTAGCTGTTATTGAAATACAGTTAAATCTTGTTATACAGGTGCGAGGCCATTGGGCCCAAAAAATAGCTTTGTTGTACCAAAAATTTAGTTTTGAATGAGCAACTCATTAAATCTTATTGTGAATATTGGGCAAGGAACTGAAAAACGACACCGGCTTTTTATTATAAACGCTTATTCGTTAAAACGAAATTTGTTGTAAAAATACAGTAGTATTACTGCATGAAAAGGGTTAAGCTCACAAGTTTCAGGCTTTTTCTTTGTGGACAAGAAAGTCTTTGCGTTGAAATATCATGAGTGGAATTTTCGCATGAAGCCTGCTTTAAAAAAAATACATTTTCACGACTGCAAATTCTAGACTCCATCAGATGTTATATTCAATAATAAAACCGATTTACGGCGACCAATGAAATCTATGCGATGCACATCTTTCATTGTTGCCAAATATGCGTTTTAAATACAAATTCAAGAAAGAAAAAGTCGGAGATAATTCCAAGTACGGTACAGTAAGAAACTGAACGTTTTTTTTTTTAAAGAATTGAAGAGAATCCAAACTCGCAAACTGCAGCGCCCGACTTCTTTTGTACGAAAAACAGAAGTACGAAAATAAGGGGAATTTCAACGTTTCATGCAAATTATCCTTCATCCACATTGAAATTCTGTAGTTAAATAATCAAGTAAAATAGCACGGTCCAATCTGAAAACCATCCTCTGTTGAACTCATGTCATAAACTAGAAATATATTGGACAAACCTCTTCATAAGGATACTTGATGTAGTCCCAGAACCATTTAGAACCGTTTATTCCCATTTTATCCGAGGTGACGTGCGTTTGAGGTGTGAATGGGAAAAATCGCCAACGCTTTTCCGAGTCCCTCAAATCTCCGGCCGTGACATTGACTTTATCCAAACATTTTGCTATTTTGGACAACGAAAAAAAAAGATTTAATCGGTTCTGCGTATTAAACAATCAATAAGACGGAGAAGAGTTCGATCATCAAAGTACTCGTATAAACAAAACACCATTTTCTACAGGAGTTCTGCTACTTTCGCTAACATCGATCGACGTCATTATGCGGAGTTGGTTTGGAGAAACGCGATCTAGCTCCACGTCTTTTGGTGAGGTTACAGAGGACGAGCATTAATTGCTTTTTTTCCGCTAAATGCCAGTCGTCACAGGATGTGTTTATGATGTCTTGACAGATGTCGTTCATACACCACACGTGGAAGAGAGTGAGAAAAAATTATGGATCTCAATTGGCTGGTGCTCGGCCAGCCACAGCAGACAAGCGCGGAGTTCGTCACAGTCATTCTTCGACATCAATTTCCCGTATACAATACAATTTCTGAGGCTTGTTTGAATGAATATCTGAATTTTTCATTTTGGTATACATCAACCGTGCCTAATATATCTTTCGCTTTGAATTCAATTTTCAAATCGAAATATTTGATGTTTTTACAATCCTACTTTATCGGCTGCATTTTTGCGTTCGATGCAGTCAGATGCGGGAAATAGGAGCTAATATCTTGTTAAATATTCTTGAATCTAAAGTGTTGAGGACATCTATTTAGAAGTTGAGAATGCATGGAATAATGATCCAAAAAAATATTCTACCAACTGCTTCCGTGACATAATCATAAGTGCGGTGATTAAATCTTGCAAATAATTAATTACTCAATGGTCGGAGGCTTATGAAACACCTGAAAAGAGTTACATCTAGTAAGAGTTCATTAACAATTTTTCTGAAACTTTCTTTATAAATTTGCAATTGTGTTCAACACTGTACTTCTGAGCTGTTGATCGAGACAAGTCTTGAAAAAGTATATCACTAAACATTGGCTGCTACAACGAAATAATCACTCCTTCACTCGTCATCGGGAAAAAGCATTGTATACCAGAAAAATCTAATTATTTCATGAAAAAGGTCATTCTGACCCCACAAAAATGTGCATGGTAAGAAGGAGGCACATTTAAATATTTTTAGGAGAATCTCGAAGGAACGAATGTCTGAGCATATTTCGAACTACATTTTTAAAGTTTCAAAAAGTTAGGCATGTGGAATAGAATTCCGCCTATTCGTCGAGTTTTAGTTTTATTATAATAGCAAATGGATTGAATTTCAAGTGCAGTGCCAACTAAAATGAAGTGTTTTGAGAGGCCAACCGTCGTAGTTTTAAAATGCTCGACTTGAAAAGTTACCATATCATTTGTTTCTTGAAATTCGACCATTGCCATATAATATTTCCGGATTACCATATCAACTTCTTGTTGATATGGGAACTGGCAAGATCCCGGGGAACTGGGACTGGGAACTGGCCCGATGAGAGAGAACTGGCAAACATTTTCTCAGCACCTCGAAAATGTACGCACCCATTTCGACATCTTCAGCTCCGTGTCCATCTGCCCGACACAGGCTGGAATTTGGCATCGCTTCCACGACGAATTTTCGGAGGGCTTCTTTGCTCAACACATATCCTGCAAGAGTTCCAAACCAAAAAACCTTGAGACTCGATACGAAAAAAATTAATAAACATTATTGATCAAATGATCACACATTGTTTCTTTCCTCGAACGCGAAAAGAACGCAGATTATTTCCGAGTTTCGTCGCGCTGTGGTGGATCACGTACTGCTGGATATCCGATATTCTTTCCGGTGAAACAAATCTCACAACTTGTGATATTTCCATCTTCAAGATTGCGATTTCGCGGAAATGAATTTTAAGAATACCCGATGAAACTTGAGAAACCTGATAGGCTGGATTTTTGACAATATGTACCTTCTGGTGAAGGAAAAAAGCAGTGGAACTACTGTACAGTACTTGAAAGTTCACTGCAAACGTAAGTGTGCGTCATTATTATATGTGACGTGAAAGGGAAAAAAAACAAAAGTAAAGAGACAGAGAGAGAACATTTTTTTACATTTGCGAAATTACCTGGAAATTCGATTTCCTGAGATAATTTTCCCAATATCAGTACTGTGTTTTTAAAAGCTCATTGGAACGTTGGGGTTCATAATACAGCTCTTATTTCAGATACATATTGAGACTCAAGAGGTTTTTTTTTCCGTACATGAAAAAAAATTACAATGACCCATGAAAGTTCTGTCCATCGATTAATAATACAAATATTATACCTAAAAATAGCATAAAGTAAATGACAAAAGTTTCTCGACAATGATAAACAGTCATAACAGAGGAATATAGTCAAATTTTCTCCACTTTTTCATGAAATCAGAGCAAAATTTTATGGAAGTTGTTCTGCTGAATTTGTGGAACATAAACCTCATTTTGCAGATGATCCTTATGAGAATATCCCTGCATGACAGAATATATTTACATCCTCAAATAGGAAAAACCGACGCTTCGAAAAAAGTCAATAAGGTCATCAATTAAGGAACAATTGAAGATAACGTGTTAGCCCATCACTTACGAAACTATTTGCGATTGGGGAAGTTCGATTCATTCGAATATATTTTACATGAGCATAAAACAAGGTCTCGAGCAGTTTTGACATTTATTATATTGTTCCGAGGGATGTAACAATTATTCCTTATTTCCTAATTGATTCACCCATGCAGACAATAATATATTAATAACGAGCCAGCAATGATTATGCAAATAGGTGCGGATGACGCAAAATTCCACCAGTATTACTGATTCGCAGCAGCGTTGCCCAAAAATCGGGTTGTGCCTCTCCAGCAGATTTAATTTCTCAATCAGAATGAGCGCAATTTTGCTTACGAGGAAAAATTCTATGAAGTCTTGAGAAAAAAAGTAGCGGGTATTCAAAAATTTCCACATTTATGAAAAACTCTTCATGTTTTCTTTTCAGATCGTTTCACGTATGAACATATCAATATTCAGGGAACTTTATGATGTGCGGTGATATCCTAAAATAAGTTTAGCTCACTTCTGCGACTGATGATACGACGTTAACTTCACTCAATGCAGAAATGAAGCTTTCTAATTTCCACATTTTCCGGCTTTCAGCGGGCGGCAATTGAAGTAAATATGAAATTAGTCGTAAAAGTAATTGAAATCACCTGCTCCGCCACTCATGAATCCCTGTTTCGAGAAATGCTTGAAGTTGCAGCCGAACCAAATTGGAGTCTTCGGATCCACGTCCTTCACCGCGTGCCGTAAATTTTCCACCACAACATATCTAAAAATAAAAACACATTTTATGAAAGTTCAATCAAATCCAAGCCATCTGGCTTGGACACCTGTAAACGCTGTGACATTTTTCGTTTACTTATAGTCATGAAGTTCTAAAAAAAAGGTGCATGCTCTCATAAAAATAAAAATTGGTGCGTAAAATTGGAATGAGTCTCACGTTTTTTGGGTTGAATGAGAAACATAAAAAATTTTATCTCCGGTAAAAAACGAAATGTTCATACAGTAGCCAAAAAGAAAACAGAAACTGATCATATTTCGAATTTTCTGAGAAGAAACGAAATTAGGATGCATGTTTTCTACATACTCACGTGTCATCATCAGCTTTCATAAACCAATCAGCAGCATCGTAATAATTTTCGTAAACGTACTTGAAAGCAGTTCTCGTCTTGTTCCACAATTCATTTCGTCCCTCAGGTATGTGCAAATTAACCGCTGGCAATGATTCATCTAATGGTACGAGAAAAAGAAACAGCGGCGCTTTCCAAATCTCAACATCATTTTTGCTGGCAGAAACTAAAAAAAAAGGAAATCTGCGAATGAATACTCGAAAAAAATAAACCTGTGGCAACTTTATTGAGACCAATTTATTGAACATTCAGGAATAAGGTCAAATTTTAGACAATATTATTTCCCAAGAGGTTCAAATCATGCTACAGAATAATTCAACAGAAATGACAAAAGTTTGTTGATTCCTCTCTTGGATTGTTGAGGCTTTATTTCCAGTTGCATTAGACTGGACATATATTTCAAAAGTCAAGAGAGCTGAAAAATTAGCAGTGGTTTATGACATCCATTTGCAAGATTCTGACTTGCACTTTTTGGAATGAGAAGTAAATCATTAAATTTGAATCTCTGTTACATTCAACAAAGCAGGCATACATGAGAATATGCCTGTCGTGAATTTTCTGAAGCACTTCTGCAGAACCAAGCATATCGAATTTAATCACCAGCCTCGAGCTGATGGAAAGTAATTTTTCACGTCAATGTTTCAAACTTAATCTTCAAAGAGAAAACGCCAAACGGCGCCTTTAGAATTCAAAGTCATAAACAGAGACGAGTTTTGGCAATTTGCCTCCAGCCTCGAGCTGACGGAAAGTAATTTTTCACGTCAATGTTTCAAACTTAATCTTCAAAGAGAAAACGCCAAACGGCGCCTTTAGAATTCAAAGTCATAAACAGAGACGAGTTTTGGCAATTTGCCAAAACTCGTCCTTGGATCCTTCCATGAGAATCGGGTTACTCACCCGTTCTCACAAGAACCGAAAAAACGGACCTTTAGTCCTTGAAATCTAAAGTTTAAACGTGAATACCAGTAACTGTACCCCAACGCGGTGGAAGCTGTAATCTAACCCAAAAATCTCTGTGGAAAACTTCCACAAGAAACCCTATTTTCCTGAGAAAATTTTTCAGGATTTTGAGTCACTGTCTCTCAAACCATCGTACTGTGCGGAACATACAAAGTACTGGTGAACTTATAAAGACTGTTGAAAAACTTGTGAATTGTGAATACAACTTCTTTAAAATAGGGTGTTCTTGAGCACCCCGGTTGTAGCCCAACCGATTTCTGTGTTATATTTTATCCAATTTTTTTGAATATAATCTTCTACAACCAAACCTTTGTGACAAAATTGGTAGCAGAGCGTGGTTTCACGTCTCTTTTAAAGGAAATCACTTAAGTTAATTTTCTACGGAAACCAATCAAAAAAGTGCTGAATTCTCAACAACAAGTGAGTGGATTAAATCAACCCCCCCCCCCCATTCCTTTCGCATCAAGTGTTCACATTGATCAAGTGGAAAGTGAACATTCAAAGTTGAAGAATCAACGACAAATACGGTGATATACCCTGAAAAGGGGGGAAAAACTTTACAAAACTCTCGTCAATTGCCATGGCAAGAGGCAGACCAAAAGGCTCCAGAGGAGTGAAAACAAGCCTGAACAGAGTTACGGCAAGCAGAATTCAAGCTAGAAATATCACCCCAGTCCTAAGGACTCCAGAAAATATAACTAGAATATCCTGTAGCTCTTCTCTACAATCCACACAAGAATTCGAATCCCTCATCACTCCAAGAGGAGCCTTAACTCCTAAACTAATCTTACTAGCACGAGCAATCAAGAAGGGTGACGTTGCAGAAAAAACTACTAACAATGAAAAGAAACAGGTCTTGTTTAACGAAATCCAAACTCAATTTGTCAAATTCCTAACCCTATACGATTCTCTTGATACCAAAGTCTTTAATGAAGAAGAGCTGATACAACTCAAAACCTTAAGACAAGAGATCAAATATTTAGCTATCTTAGACCAAGACTCAATTGAATCAGAGTGGGCTTCTCGACGTCCAAGCCAATCGAAAGTACTAACTGTTACATTCCCTAATCCTGTCACCACAATCATAAGCTCAAATCTAGGGCAGCAACCAATAACAGAAACTCTCTCCACCGAAACAACTCAAATGTTAATTGTTAACAGTTCCTCACCCGGTACTTCAAATTCAACTCAACAAACTGAATCCATGGATATTGAAACTGAAAGCAGAATTTCAGAACAAATTACAAACCCAACAGCCAATATCATTGAAAAACACACATCTTCATTATTCTCCCTAGAAGAAAGTTATATTGACAATCAAATTAATCAATACGGAAAGGGAAAGTCCATTCGTTCTAATTTAACTGCAAGAGAATACATACAAAACTACTCCCAAAAGGAGTTAAAAACTTTCCAAAAGTTCAGAGTAAATTCAAACCTTGATAGTGACTTCGAACGGGTGTGGAACAAATTCAAACCAATTCACGAAGCACCTACACACGAATTTTTGCCACAAGAAGGACGAGACCTGTTATTGTTGCACTTTGATGAAGACATTTTACAGCAAATTGACAGCATGAATCTTAAAGAAGAAGAAAGCGACTATCTTGACTTGGTTAGAATGCTTTTTAACAAGTTTGGAAACGTCAGTTTCATAACACAGAAAATATTCAACTCGATTGAAGATCTAAAACCAGAAGACAGTTCAAGGCAAGCAATTGCCAAATATATGACAGCAATTGTCAACTTTGTAGCCAAATTGACTATATTAAAACAAAATATGTTCTACATACACAATAGAATCTGGCCAAGTGTACACTTTCATCTAAACCAAGGAAATCATTTTGAAATCTTTAAAAACAAGTCTACTCAACTGGATAAAAATAAGTGGGAAACAAACCCTGAAATGATGTACCGTTGGTACTGGAGAGAGTTAAACTCAGGACTCATACGCCTTCCAAAGGAAGAACAAGTCATGATATATAAAACGTTGTCCAAGGCAGTTGATGAAAAGGAAAAGAAAAGAAACTCTAAGTCCGAACCCATCAAGGAGCCTTACAGCACTTATTCAACCATCAAAGTGAATCCTCAATCACATGACAATCAAAACAAACCGTCCACCAATAGCGGGAATGAATCTACTCCAGAAGTACAAAATCCTCTTCCACAAATTTCTCAACAAAATCAGGGAAGTAATCAGTCCCAAAGTCAAGGTAACCAAGGAAATCAAGATTCA